TTACTATTGTTATCATTACTATCTTCATTGTTATCACTATAATTGTCATCATAGTAGCATCATAGTTATAAAAATAATCACTATTTTCATTATTATCTTTGTTATCATTGTTATTATCTATTTCATTTATTTAAGCACTATCATTGTTATCAATATTATCACTATCATCATCATTATCATAAGCATCATCACTATCATTATCATCACTATAATAACCATTATCATTTTCATTGTCATCACACTGCCGTCACTAACATTTTTCACATTATTTCTGTTTTTTTCTGTTGTTCATATTTTTCTTTCGTGCAATTTCATCTTTCTCGTCATAAACAAAGAAAAGAAAAGAGAGAGAGAGAAAAAAAAAAACAAGATTCAGCAACAGGTGTCCCATTAATTTGCTCATTCATCTAAAGTCAAGAGTCATTCATATTTAGAAAGGAAAAAGGAGAAAGAAAGAAACGAAAGAAAGAAAATACAACAAACACTCCTGCACATGAGTATATACACAGGAATTATTATTGGAGAAACATAAATGTATATATATACATACATATATACACATGCATACAGTTATATATATATATATATATATAATATATATATATATATATATATATATATATATATATATATATATATATGTATATTATGTATGTATATGTATGGATGTATGGATGTATATGTACATATATATATATATATAATATATATATATATATATATATATATACATACACACAAATGTACATATGCGCAACTTTCTCTGCCACTTTTGACAGAAGAAAAGATCTAGTAAGCAGTATACTTAAAGCCAAATGGACATTTAAATGACCGACATCACCAATGGCCTTCTGAAACAACCATCACAAAGTATATAACCTACTCATAGAATGTTGTTACTTCAGGCAAATGTACACTCAACGTACACAACTAGCTATCTAAACAGGGATGACAACTCAACACATTATTTTGCTGCAACCTGTCTTCATTCTCTATGACCTTTATTTTTGGCTATCTTTATAGATCTGTCTTTATTTTTTATTACCTATTTCCTGTCCTTGTTCTTTTGTAACTTGTTTTCATTCTTTATTATTTTGTTTTAACCTCTCTTCATTTTATCCTTTTGTCTTGTTGATTTGATGAGGGGTATAGATAAATCAAACAATATTACATAATTGCCAAAGAAAATATAAAAAATATCAGTAAAGTAAATCAATAAACAATAAAGCTAATCAGTTGAATGGAATTAATAATCAATGATCACATTAATAATCAATGATCACATATATATCATGACGTAATGATTTATATCAACTTATGATATAAGTAAAAGATTTGCAAAATTTAACTTCCTTGCAGACGTTGTTATGGTTAATGAGTGAAGAATCCCGAAGTCTAAGCTCCATCATTGCATTCGTATGGCTTGCAGTAACTATAATGTGGATTATTATTATTATTTCTTTTTTATTAATTTTCTATTACAGTTTTTCTATCGAATATTCTCCTGTTTCAGTGGTTCGTAGTTTCAAGTAGTGGTTCCGAGACGAGATGGCAATTGAGCTCTCCAAACTCCGAAAAGGACAAACTGGCAACTCACCGGCCCCTGTAGTACTTCGAATCGCCGTCTCATTTAATTAAGTAATATAATAAAATGAATAATATTATGGTGTAAAACAGTGAGGGATAGGAATTTTGAAAATAACAAATCATATACAAACATACAGATTAAGAGTGAGTTGATTAAAATAAAACTAAGAATCGGAATATCCCAGAATACGGAGTGAGTTGCCAAATTTTTATTTTCAGGAAATTAGACGCACCGCAGGTTATGTACGTGTCGATTCTTTTTCTGCCAATTTAACGGACAGGCGTTCCGTTTTTCTCCTTCGTCGCCAGGGGGCAAGAACGAGCGGAAATGAGAGAAGACATGCAGCCCAAGAAGGAGCCAGCGCGGCCTTCTCCAAACAAACGAGTAACGTAATTTTGATAGAAATACGAGGAAGTCTCGATGCCCATTCTATTGTTCCGCCATAGTTCTGTTTGCGTTACTACATTGCCGACGGCGTGTCATTGTTTTTCGGCGGGTTGGGTAATCTCATGTGCCTTGGGGGGGGGGGGGGGTGTGGAGGGTGGGGGGTTAGTCACATTATCACCGATCCCCTACATTAAAACGCACATGCACGCGCATACGTACCCATGGACACACACACACACACACACACACACACACACACACACACACACACACACACACACACACACACACACACACACACACACACACACACACACACACACACACACACACACACACACACACACACACACACACACAGATTAATATATGAGAAGTGGATTAAAAAAACAACAACGAAAAAAACGAAAAAAAACGGTTAGTCGTACGTAATATCTTTAATGTACAGAGTGAAGAAAACCAAGCTAGTGATTTGTGTTATGTTTATATTTCATCTCTTCTTTCTTTTACAAATCTTAGCAAGTAAACGGATAAATAAATTCACTTTTCGTCTTCATAACAACAATGGCGGAGAATTATAAACGAAACAGTGTACTTTTTAATCCAACTTAAGTTCGTTTAATTTATAATTTAATTTAAGGGTATTTAAATGGTATATTGGTATTAAATTTCCCATTCATTCTGTTAGAAGAAATTAGTACTTTGAAAATCTCTTTGTTTCCCTCTTTTCTAGAGACTAATTAACGCTGTGTGTATATTTAATTAATGAAGTTATTTACTTTTTTCTACATTCATTGATTTTTTTTCTGTTTATCTACCTCCCTATCCACCTTATTCGTCTACTCACCATTCACGAATTCATTTATATATCTACACACTAATTCCATTTGTTTATTCATCTCTCTCTCTCATCCTCTTCCTCATAATTAGCACCGTTTGCGTTCGCCTCATACCTCATTACTCATCTTTTTGTTTACTCATCTCTGATTGACTACGTAAATATTCACTCCTTCCCCCATTCATTTCTCTCTTTTGGTCTCAACGAACATTAATATTCATCTGTCTGTTTACTCATGCGCTGTTTATTCATTTGTCCATCTTTTCCATTCCATTCTATTCTTAGTTCCTCTGTTTTCTTTCTTCCTATTATTATTTACTAATTATCTATTTGTTTATTCAGTGTTTTTTCTTTTCTTTTTTTTTGTCAATCTTTCATGTTCTAAGTTTTACTTCGTTTATCCCTCATTCGTTTCTTGCCTCACGATTTCTCTCTTCTCCTTATTCCCTTTCTCATATTTCCTTTTTTTTCTTCCATTTTTAGTCTCTGTTTCGACATTCCTTCTCCCTGTTTTTTTCTCTGTTGTCTCTGTTTACTTATACATCAATTCCCATCTGTCTATTTATTTGTTATTTTATACATCTTTTCGTTCTATTCTTATTCTTAAAAAGAAAAGAGAGAGAGAAAGAAAGAAAGAAAGAGAGAGAGAGAGAGAGAGAGAAGAGAGAGAGAGAGAGAGAGAGAGAGAGAGAGAGAGAGAGAGAGAGAGAGAGAGAGAGAGAGAGAGGGAGGGAGGGAGAGAGAGAGGGAGAGAGATAAGAGAGAAGAGAAAAAAGAAAGAGAGAAATTAATAAATAGATGAAGAGGTAGATAGATAAAGAGAGAGAAAAGAAAAGAACGAAATAAAGGGAAAATATCTGAGATGTAGAGTTATTTGCGTATCGAGACATGACATTCTTTACTTCCAGTGCCATTTCTTCTGGAAATTTCTGGCTCTGTCCTTGTCTGTTGCGTGCACATGGTCCATACACACATAAGCAAATATCCACACAACATATACTGCACACACACACACATACTGCACACAC